CGTGTTGCCAGCTCACGGCGCAGCGTAGGACCTGGCCGTTCATTCGCCGCGCCGAGGATGAGGCTCAAGGGGATATCCACTCTGGACCTTTTGGGAGCACAGGTAACAGCCGGGCACATCCCTGAACTGCGATATGAGATGTGAAGCAAATTGACCACTGTTTTGCGCATCTTAAAGAAGTTTTCATTCAGTGCACGTGACACAACCTCATCTGGAGGAGTGATGTGTCCGCGATGGGGAGTTGTGTGCCTTCAGAGCCACAGCGACTGAGATAGACCTGGTGTGGTCTTGGATTGTCGTTGTTTTGTTGCCTTGCACACGCTTGAATTTGGTCTTGAAAAATATGCAGGAATTGCTGTACGATCGCAATTTGTACTTCCATATGTTAAATATATCTCCGTCTTGCTCTTGTATTATTTCTTGCTGTTGTAACTTTCTGACACCTATGAAAAAGAGCTTCATAGCTCATCAGATTCCTTCAGAGCTCATCAGATGAATACAGATTCTGATTCTGTCTCCTGTTCATTTGCGTGTTCCTTTTGAATTTAGTAAATACGAAAGACCCAAAGAATATTAAGTAAATACGCTGCAGTGTAACGCCATTTCAACCAACGCAATTTTACTGACATTTTTACGGTACGGTATTCTGAAGCTGCAATCGTGTTGTACTCTAAGACAATCGGAATATAAATTATTCACTAAAACTGAAATAGAACAACATGTGTACTTTCGGTGTACACGACTCTATGCCTAGGTGACACCGACAGGGTCGGCATGTGCTGGCAGCCTACTCGTGGCCACATTCCAGCTGTTGTCTGGCGAAAGCCCCGTCTGCTTCTGGGAGTGCAAGTCCCAGTTCCAGACCAATCTTCTTTGATGTTGCTGGGCCATTTTTTTCTCTCTCACACATCCTCTCTAGTCCTTGTCCCGGTGATGTTGCCAAAAATAAGAAGGTTGAGAAAAAAATCCATTTGTCCATCTTAACTATGTGAGCGAAGTAAGCAAATCAACTAAATAAATATTAAACTATTTCAAGCGTTTTTTTTAATTTTACCAAGTAAGGCCCACAGAGCTATGTAGCTCTTTGTCAGAAGCGACCTGGCCACAAATGATAGCTCCACGAAGTGGCTTATCACGTAGAAAACGTATCGCAGCCATGTTGAGTCTAAATGTGGAGGGAAAAACCAGCGGACCCAGATAAAATCCACGCGACCACGGAGAGAACAGAAGTGATAAACACTTTAAATGCTGATAGTTGATTACTTTTAATGTCAAACTATGTACAGCATGGCATTGTGGAACTGTCATGTCATCCTCCATGTGCATACTAAGCCAGCTGTCTTTTGTTTGTATGATATTTTTTCGTCGAATAATTGTTTAAGTGGCTTATAACAATCTCATATCGAAAGTTACCTGTCATTTTCATGGAAACACACCCATTGGTCGTTTTAATTCGAGCAAGACTGTGAAAACCTAAACATTTAAACGCTATAATGTGAAACAGATGTAGGGAAACATTCGATTTACATGCCAAGTATTAGACTTAAGAATGTACGATTTTATGTCCTACCTTAAAATATATATGCGTTGTTTTCTCTGAAATAATTGCTAATTGTGTCAAAAGTGGAATTTCAAAGGCGTGTATATTAGAGCATTTGAGTTCGGCACAACAAACATCTGCATATCGTCCTGGAATGAGGACAAAGTGGTTGCGAAATTAATAATTGGCTTATTTTGGTTTACATTGTGTAGGCATGATGAAACATTTTCACGAGAACCTTCCAGCACCCGACAGAGCCAATCGAATCAAGTTGTCAATTGGACAAAAATTCCAAGTGATTTTTTAAAATTAAAAACCAGAATTGTTGAAAAGCGGGCAATATTTTAAGGGTTTTGTGTACGATGTTTCGCTAGATTTCGATTTAAAGCTTTCGTGACTGCAGGGATTCATCTTCTTGGTTCTTTCGATAAAGTCACGTAGAATGGAAATAATACAATAATAAAAATTAAACATAATAAAATAATTCTCACGACATTTCGGCCACAACGCAAGCAGCCGTCCTCAGGTGGAGAGCAGGTCTGTCGAGAAGACAGAGTCTGAATGACAAGCCCCAGGCTTGGAGCGACTATTTAAGCTCTTCGCCCCTCCATCCCAGCTTAAATAGTCGCTCCAAGCCTGGGGCTTGTCAGTCAGACTCTGTCTTCTCGACAGACCTGCTCTCCACCTGAGGACGGCTGCTTGCGTTGTGGCCGAAACGTCGTGAGAATTATTTTATTGTTTTATTTTTATTATTTTATTATTTCCCTTCTACGTGACTTTACCGAAAGAACCAAGAAGATGAATCCCTGCAGTCACGAAAGCTTTAAATCGAAATATAAATGTGTCGTTAAAACCCCCCACCACCCGACACTGCCAACTAGTAAGAGTTGTCACGTAAACAGAACATGCCAATTCGTCACTAGTATAGCACACCGGTGTGTTGGAGAGCCAAGCCACAACATTTACGAACTGAGTACGACGTTTCGCCAGTACTTACAACTAGCTTCATCAGGCAACAGCCAGATTTGTGGAGAAGTCTTACTGTTTAGTTCCTTATATAGAGGTGTAGATGTGTTGACAACCCTTCTGCGCTCTTGCACAATGTAGGGAGGGGGGGGATTACTGAGGCAATGTACATGATGCATGTGCATTATGCGAGCCCTTTGAACTTGTCCTTCCTGTCTATTGTGTTTATTAAAATAGCCCTACCAACGGTAATCCCTATTGAAGTACGCTGACCTTTGTAGGCATGCATTTAATTCATGTATTATTTGATGATTAGCTTCCACGCAGCACTAAGACCGTAGCTATCCGAACGGTTAAAGTTTTTTTGATTTATTTGAATTCCGATAGATTCTCTAATTAGTCTTGGCCAGTAGTAGATAGTTTTGCACAAAATTTCAACATTATGGAAATCAATTGAGTGTCCTTGTTGGCACGCGTGTTCTGCTACTGCTGACAGTTGTATTTGGGAGAATTTAATATTTCTCTGATGTTATTTTAGTCTCGTGCTGATCATTCGTCCTGTTTGCCCAACATAGCATTTGCCACACGTGCAGTTAATCCTGTACACATCTTCTGTTGATAGCTTCGGTAATACATCTTTTGTACCAGATATAAAATTTAGTATTTTATGTACCGTGTCAAATCTGACTCGGATGTTTTGTTTTTCCAAACATCTGGCTAGTTTATCAGTTACTCTCGCAATGTACGGTATTTTGATTGTTTTAATTACTTGGGCAGTTTCAATGCTCTTGTTATTTGATTTGGTTTTGGTATTTAATGCTCTGTTGATTTGTGTATCATTTTAACGATTCCTTTGCAGCGCTTCTTTAACATGTTGAATTTCACTTCTCAGATTGTCACCATCTGACATTTTCTTAGCTCAATGAATGAGCGTCTTGATAAGAGAAGATTTCTGTGCGGGGTGATGGTGTGACTCTGCATTCAGATAGGCGTCAGTATGCGTTTTCTTCCAGTAAACACTGTGTGTTATTTGACCATTTCTACCCCGTTCGAGCAGAATATCCAGAAATGTTAGAGTTCTGTCCGCTTCCACTTCCATGGTGGAAACTGACAGAACCGCTACACTACTATTCCCCCCCCCTCTTTCCCGAGCTCTGATATGCACCTTCTGCGTGCCGTGTTTTGAGAAGCAGTCACATGAATTCAAATAATCTGGAACCGCTGCTCTGTATAGGAATATGACTCAAAGCCGAATGATCCAAGATGCCGTGTGTATTCACACAACCAGTTTTGAATTCACTTTGAGCTCTTGCATCTGACCTCGCGGTGTCATCTCTGGACGGGAATTGCTGTAGCCGCTCAAGTCGGGTGTGAAACGTTTCAAATGTTACCGTGAGCATCGTGATGGGCGTGACACCTAAACCAAAAACAAGTTGCACGTGTGTGCCACGTTTTAAAACAAAATTTCTACATTATCATAAGCCCCATATTTCGACATTGAGTAGTACCTCGCTATTCGCGAGGGATATGTTCCGGCGATGCTCGAGAATAGCGCATTTTGCAGATAATGACAATTGGGCTCCAAAATTTACTTCGATAAATACATTAATAAACGATGAAATACATGACAATTATCTCATCACTTTATCTCATCAGTTTATCTCACTATCTCGATGCAGTCGTGTAGAGGTACCAGATGCGATTCCCAGGAAGCGAAAATCGCGCGTAGCAAGTCCTTGAATAACGTACATATATTGAACTTGTATCACACCAAATGTAGTCTACCGTGCTTATCGGAGGTGCGGGGGAAGGACAATAACAGGGAAGACTGTATACGTATCTTACTGTTGACAATCGCCAACTCCTTCTTAGAATTACTTACTGGCCCGATTTAAAATGATCACGTTTCCTCGTTGAATCGGTTGCTGTTACATTGGCTGTGCATTAATTTTAATAGCGCAATAATGAATATTGCCATCGGCCGTTAAACTTGTCAAGGATTGAAAGGAGTTAAATCAAGGCAGAGTCGACGGCTCCATACAAAAGCAAGTGCAACGTCCTTTGTGTGCCCCTTTGTTAAATGTCTCCAAAGTATGCCACGGTTCAGATTCCATTATGAATGCCATCTGCAGGGTAAGTTAAATCACTGGTGTTATGTTCCAGATGTATTCGACTCACAGTATGACTTTAGAGCACACACTCATTCGCTGGCTGAACTAATAGCCTCATACCTGGATGGGCATAGGGTCGTATGGTGGCATAATATATGAGTAAATGCTGTCCAAATGTCAAGTACTGAGCGCAGCAGCCGTACCATTGTCCTTGGGTTACGGCATACTTGTGTTACAACATGGTGAAGAAGCCCAGGCCTGAGAGTAGTATCAGGCAGAATGATGCCCTGGAATATAACAGGCTCTTGGCATTTAAGCGCCGCGTCATTACCAAGAAATACGGGGTGTATACGATCAAAAAGTTAATTATAAAGCGCACTCACAGAGTCTCAAGGTTGTGCAGGCCATTGAAGCAGCGATCACCAAGGCTCTGGATCTGGTTATTGTGCAGGTGCCTGGAGTAAGGGGTGGGAGGGCACAGGGGGAGCACTGGTTAGCAAACAGCTCCACATTAGCCTGACAAATGAAGCAGAGTTCCTAACCTCCCAGCTCACCCTTCTCAGCCTCCCCCCTCAACCACCGCACCCCCCACTGTGACGCAGGCCTGCACCACGGCGATCGGCCAGGGTACGCGAGAAACTTTGTCTCCCTCTGACCTATTAAACGAGCGACAAATCCCCCGTTAGTTCATGCCTTTTCATTTATTAGCCCCCCTTTTGTTGTTGTTGCTTTTAATCTGCCGCGAAGGGTCCTCCTCCCACGGCAGGCAGGAGGGCAGAGGTGGCGCGCGATGTCAACGCCGCCTACCTTCCACTGCGCGAGCGCCGAGTTTCGGCAAAAACACTGGAGGCTGCGCCGAGCCCCTTGAAATTCATCAAAAAAAGAAATGCGTAATATTAATCACGCTCGACTTTCCCAAGCACGATGAAGACGAATGAATTCTCCCTACTGTTCTGTTTACGTGCGGCGATAACGTGCGCAACGTAGCATTTGAGAGAAATACTGCAGACCTAGGGGTTTGCTTTGAGACAGATGAAGGGGAGGGGGGTAGGAGATGCTTCCAAGCTGGTAAAAGGAGGGGGGGCCTCAAACGCAATCACAATCAGGGCCGCTGCCACGAGAGCGCTCGCATTGAGACAATTCAGTGGGCCAGCAGCGTGGACTGGCCAAAGTGTGCATTTAATAAGCACCCATCTCTTCTGACATCACGGCAATGGAAATGCCAGTGACACAGATCTGCCATCGTTCCAAACACTCGCTCAACTCGCCAAGTATGTACTTATGAGAGGTTACAGGCATGAAATATTGTTACAGTGCGGGGCAAACTGAGAATTATTGTCGTCGGATGGTTTCATTTTTACCCGAAGCCAATTCAGTGGCATGCTGGGTAAAAAGGTCAGGGGGTAGAAAAACGAAGTAAGTTAAAAAGCAACAATGTATCCATTTCCTCTAACATGACAATCGGATTACGTGAACTGTTTTGATGGGCTCTAGAACATTTGTAATAAATGGTTTTCCCCAATATAATAATAGCCACTCATTTTGGGAAACACAATATTTATGATAATTGGTTCTTTACCCTTCTATCTGGCAACAAAACTGACACCTTTTTGCAAGGAGTCATGTTTGCATAGACCGCAATACCTGCAGTCATAATACGCCAAAAGGCGTCATCTGGTCCAACCCATATGAGACTAGGCTCTAAGGAAAGCTGTCTTGGGTGTGGACCAATCAACTTCAAGGACAGTGCACATTATCAGAGTTATGTTCTTTTGTTTGTATTATGACTGCAGGTATTGCGGTCTATGCAAACATGACTCCTTGCAAAAAGGTGTCAGTTTTGTTGCCAGATAGAAGGGTAAAGAACCAATTATCATATTTTTACTGGCAAATGAGGTCCCCATAGTGTAGACACAATATTTATTTCACTCGCGTTAGGGTATCATCATATGATATCCTTCTTCTTCCACGCTGCCCTTGTCAACCTTCGCCATGCTGCCCTGTCCTGTGCCATCATATGCTATCCCATTTAGCTAAAAGGAACTTCAGTACACGTGAATAAGTATTCACCGTTCATAAACATGGGGAAAAGGTGAGCTATACTTCTTGGACGTGATGACAGAACAAGAGACTGAATATTATGTGTTGAATGGGAAAATTATCGGCAAAAGAAGGTGGGGAAGGCAGCACATTAAGTTACAAAAGCAACTCGAAACAATTGGATGCAACCATCTAATGTATGTACGTATGTTGAACTAATGCTAAGTTTCTTGAGTGATATCATAGATGGAGCTAAATGGAAGAATGGCCATGATCACCAACGTTTTTTAAAGACAGAACATGGAACGCAGATGTATTTACAATTTCACATTTGTGAGAAATCTCAACAAAGCGTACCACATTAGCAGTTCACTCTGCCCCTTGACACGTGTCCTCGAAATAACCCTCCACCCTTCCCCCATGTGCTGACCAAGCTGTAAACATAATGCGAGTTATAAATGCATTTATAATGTCTATTGGCATGTCAGTAAAGGCATTTGAAGAGGTTAAATGAAGTGTCTTAAAAGCTTCGCAATATCCATTCAAAAAATACCACCCCTACAATTATGTCACGTATGACACACACCAGCCATTGCCTCGACGAGTGAGATATGTTGACTGGAGGCAGAAGATTGCAGTAATCGTGGGTCACAATGGTGGGGGAAGGGCAGGGGGAGTTTCTAAAACTATAAACTAAAGCTTTTATTTTTATTTTTACCAGGTAAGGCCAACTGAGCTGTAGAGCTCTCTTTGAGAAGCGAGCTGGCCAAAAATGACAGCTCAACGAAGTGGCTTGCCCTGCGGAAATTTATAGCAGCCAATTACTCTAAGCGCGTGTTTCTAAATGTGGAGGGAAAATCCGAAAGGACCCAGACAACAATTCACGCTACCACAGGGAGAGACATGCACACTACATATATATGCAGGCGTCGGGGTCGGGATTGGGATCGAACCCACCACCTCCTGTATACCAGGCCAGGTAGTTAACATCTCACCACCACGTCTGTGTACGCAGAGGCGACATGTTTCTTGTATTTTGTCCTTCCCGTGCTCCTCCAATGAGCATGGTTGTCTACGTATGGTGCGAAATAAGTTCAACATACAAACATACAAGCATACATGCGTGTGAATTCACATGTATTCACCAAACTCAGGTTGGGCGGGGTGTTTATCAAGAAATTTGATTAACGTGCATATTTGCCGACGGTCAGAACGCAGATGGGGCTGTATGCACAACCGTGGACCTTGCTGGTGGCTACTTAAGCCCACTGGGATGATGGGGGAATGATGACTTTCCATCAAAATAATAAAAGGACAGGGTAACACGTTACTTAATTGTGTAGAATGAATGCACTATTAACTAGGTCTTGACAGAATATTGAGTCAAAATTGGTGTACATTTTTTATACAGGTCAGACGTGAATGGCAATTGCGAGCCTATTCAAAGTCACTCCAAGCTGATTACCATCCATTTACAAATGGTGTCAGTTAACCTTCGGCCATTTACAAAAAAAAAATGGGCCGTCCCTTCCACAAAGGTCTGCTGACATTTAAAACTGATCATATTCCGAAACCTGCAGCATTTTTATTTCCTCGGGGTGTAACATTTTAGACAGACAGGTTCACGATGCCTTCAAAGGTTCTCGATGACATGCATTTGTGTTGTGTTAATATTCAGGAATGATGTGTAATGCTCATAGTGTGCTTCCCACTCAGACACATAACAGTGCTGGCACACTGTTGGGATACGGCGTCATGCCTAAAAACAAATACAAAATGAAGCATGTGCTTGTCTGCACTTGAACAAAAAGACACAATAGCTTCCAGACATCACAGGAGAACTATCGCAGGGACAGAGGCGTGAGGGTAAGGAATGCGCTCTCAGATGGCTAGGAGTCAATGGTGATGTGGGGATGGCGAGTGCGTGCGAGATGATTGCGTGGTGAGCATAAGAGATTCATGCTGAGCAGTGGGCGAGAGCCTTATTATGGAAAAAACAAAACCCTGTTCCGTATTTGCCAGGGCAAGACAACGTGCACGCATATTATTGAGACTTTTTGGCCGACTTAAAGAAAAAAACACAACGTTTAAGCCAATGAAAATAAAAAAAAATTTAAATACCCCTGTACAACATGTGAACTTAAAAATAAAACACGTTAGGTAAAAAATTCGTTGTTCAAATGTTTGTTATTAAACTTTTCATTAAGTTTGTTTGAATGACCTGCTCGACACATGCAGTTATACAATCATAAGTCCTCATGTAAACAGATGAACACTCACAGTGGTTCCCTTGTTTTATGGAGACTCGGGAATTAAAATTTAGATATTTGGGCAATGGCACAAGTAAGCGCATGATGACCGATTATTATTATTAACAATTGTGTTACACACTACACTTTACACCAGATGGCGTGCCTCTTGTATCCTTTGAAAAATATACTTTTTGCTGTCAACGGGCTCTAATCGTGTTAATACACATATATACAGAGTGGTCCCAAAGTCCGGGCACATAGGGTTATTACATGTATTTTAACACTGGCATTAAAACATTTTAATTGGTTATTCTTTAAGTTCATATTTGATCTCTTATCATTATTATTATCTATTTTTTATTCTTCTTCCTTTTCAAATGACATTTAAAACTGGAATGGAAATTGTCTCCAGACGAACGAGTTCAATTCATTTTACGTACAATAAAGAAGGCAATTCTGCGATTTGTTAAAATAAGGATGATCATAACCCTACGTGTGCTACCCTGTATACATAAAAACATGTTTACATTTGTAATCTCTGCAGAAAGTAACACTACCTGCAGCTTTTTGACAAAAAAAATACTGATCTGGCTCACTCAATAGCAGATCAAGCAGCCTTCATGTGGCGAGGTTTGCTGGATTTAGTGATCAGTGTTGTTGCCACAGAGGCATGGTGATCATTGGCCGATAAGTATGATGAACTCGGGCTCATTATATGTCCCAGTGTTTGCAGGGTGCATCTGACATCATAGCTTTGCCTGGGGCTCTCTCACAGCAAGCGATATGAAGTTGCACTTCGTGATGACATCCTGTCTTGGGTCAGAGACAGCAGGTTATTACAGGTGTCATCTTCAGAGCTCCATTTATCTGAATTATAATGACTTGCACCAAGCTCAAGTAATCCATGCTGTGGTTTTCCCAGACAAACAAAATTATACTTTAATGTTATTCCTGATGGTGCTCGTTGGGTGGGCAATTTATATATTTTTACCTTCCTAAGCATAGCTGCTAGGCAATATATTAAACGTGACCGTCACATTACAACTCGAGAATGAATTTCCTGGAACAAACTCTTTGTTTTCAAATGGCACGCATTGAAACATGTCACCTTGCTCTCGACAACCAAGCTGACGACTGGCAGGTGGCTTCCCCAGTGCCACCGA